CACAATGAAAGTTCACGAGGTCGCTTAGATAATATATATTTTTTCAGGTTTTACTATCGACGGGCACGACGAATTACAGACCGCCCCTGGAGCGCTCCAAGAGCGCCCCCAAACTCGGTTCCATCGAGGAGACGATAGAGGAGGAGGAAGAGGAAGAGCAATCCCCTATAGAAGAGGAGGACAGCGACGAGACCAGCGTGCGGGGTCAGAATTTCCACGCGTCCCCTGTGGGGAGTCTTGCGATATCCGAGACGATGTCGGACATCGTGCAGTACGGTAACCGGACCACGGAGCTCGGCACGTCTCTCGCCCTCAGCAGGTCTACGTCACAACGCGGCAAGTCTGTCGACCAGGACGACGAGTTCGCCTCGTCGGAGGACTGCGTCTCGTCGGTGACGTGCAATGGCGGCGAGCTCACAACTAAAATAAACATCACTGATAGTCATTTAACTGTTAATAGGCAATCAAGTTGTAGTAATAGTCTTAACACATCCAGTCATAAGGAACCTATGAATTTTTCTTCCAAACCAACCCACAACATGAGGCCTCCTGTTATACGAAGGCGATACTTGAGGTCCATCAGCGTTGACACAGGCAGCGATAACGGCGATATCGACGACTTCGACGATAGCGACGATAGCGGCACTCCAGTTCGCAGTCCCGCCTCTGCGCCTCCATCTCACGTGACGCTTCGCATCGCTTATTCTTCAAGTCAGCCCTGCAGGGTGGATGATTCTGCGGACGAAGAACTCTGCAGTTCCTTGACAAGCACGGACACAACAGAGACGGTTTTAGACAGAATCTTACCCGCACATTCTAGCACTTACATAAGCAGCGTCGACCACACCGAAGCAGTTTTAGAAAGAATCTTGCCAACACATTCCAGCACTCTTATTAATATTGAGAGCAGTTCTCGAAGCTCTTCCGGAGTAGATTTTAGAAGTAGCACTCGCCCTAAAACATCCCATGCTTCTTCCATTGAGGTTGACCCCGAAAGCCAAGTTTTGAGCGACCCCCAAACAGTAGAAGACACAATCACGCTCATCAATTGCTTGAGTCACTCTTTCTCACGGCAAATGAGTCTTCCAGCAGAGTCCCACCATCCCGACGAATCTTTAACATCTGACCAACCTGAGTCTTTGGGATCACATTGTGATTCTTGTAGCTCCTCTTGTGGCGGCTGCTCCGACGCTGGAGGCGGAGGCTCGGATGCTGGAGGTGGCGGTTCTGACAACGGCCATTGTGTTCATGCAGACAGAAGTTCAGGACGAGGTATTTCTTCGTCGTCGTCCGGTGTGTCTGGTCGGCTTCTTGGTGTAGTTGTCATTGGTAACTTGGAGAATCTTGGTAACCTGAGCAACTTGAGTGCTCAGGCTGAGGAAGCCGATAACATTAGTGAAGAAAGTGGCTACGCGGAAGACAAAGACTTCCTGCAGTGCGCTGCNGACCATACCTCTAGAGCGCATACCTCTCTACCGTCAACCGCTTGCGTTGGTTCATTTTAAGCTAGCAGTGCATGTGAACAATGTAATCTCTGGCTTACTCATGCTTCACTTTGTTACTCGATGCTAAAGTGACTCATCGGTGAATGAGTGTAAGGATGTTTAAAGCTATGCATCTATAAGAAATCTAGACTATTTGCATGAAGCTAGAGTTGCGTCATGGCGCTGCGAGTTTCCAGATCCGAGTTCTTATATTCAACAGTTCCTCGAGTTGAACATTATTGCCGAAACATTCCGGTGCTGTACCCACCTGCAGCACAAGAATTTTTTTGCATATATTACTTGACCAAATATTTTCTTCCATAGTTATTGCATATGTGTTCATTGCTTATTTGTGCCCATGCATGGGTATTTTGTATTTGATTTCCAAAAATTATTATAAACATTTTGATTTTCTTAACGTTCAGGAATATCGTTTTATTGTGACCTTTCTCAATTATACACGCATAAATCGTGAGCTTACATGATAGTTCATATTCCAAAGACTATTCCATAGTTCAGCCTTGTATAAGCTTGACTACTTTCACTGGATTTTTGCTCTTCGTTTCATTCTTGCATGGCCGAGAAATAATAAACATTTATAAGCATGCAACGTTATTGTGTTTAATGATGATGAATATCTCGGTAATATTACATGAAAGTTCAACCTAGCATACCAAGTACCAGGAATTGTGAAAAGTTAAATGTTGCTTATCGTTCCCCACGCGTGTTACGATTCTCGTATTTAAATTTAAAACATAATTGACGACCTAGCGGAAAAATAGTACTTAGTTTACTGACCAAGGTAAGATTTAGCAGATGTCTGTTGTCGTCTAACTTGTCACATTATTGTACGTCGAACGTCTCCCTCCTTATATTAACCAAGTATGATGAGGTTTAGCTCGCTTGAATGAAACCTTTGAGGGTCCCGCGTTGTTGGCTTCATTGAAGTATGACTACCACAAAAATTATCCTAACCATTAAATAACTCCCACAAAAATGATCCTAACCATTAAATAACTCCCACAAAAATGATCCTAACCATTAAATAACTCCCACAAAAATGATCCTAACCATTATATAACTCCCACAAAAATGATCCTAACCATTATAAAATCGAGTCGTAAATTGACAGTATATATTATAATTCGTTTAGATTATATAGTATATAGCGTAGCAGGTCAGCCCGGCTTTGTACGAAATAAATGCCTCTTTTTATTTGATGATCCCGTAAGTCAGAGTCGCGTCATCCCGAATCCCTTCACCCGGAATCCGGAAAATAAGTTAAAACTTGAGTTCGATATATAAGACAACCCCGTTAAAATCCACATTTAGCACGAAACTCCCATTCATCCCTTCAGCAGTTTAACGGTCGCTGGAACTGTATTATATACTATTTAACCTCATGGCAGTAAAATTTTGTAATCGAACTCTTTTCCGGTTTTCATGATATAATCACTTGATTCATGATATGAATCATGAATCACTTATATCATTCATGAATCACTAGTGTCATGATATAATAACTATAAATAAAATTTCGTTCCCAGATAATATCCAGATACCATAAGTACCTTGGACACGCTCTCGCTCTGCCCTCTTGTTATGTTCTAGCGCCAGGCTTCACAAACAATCTTTCACAAATATACAATTGGTAATTTACCACCAAAGGTATTTTATAATTTAAAAAAACACTCTTTCTTGGTACAGACTCGTATATGACGTGCCAGCATTTACATCTCGCAAAAGACCGGCGTAAAAATTTCCTCCTGACGCCTGAAATATCACGTAAGAGCTTAAGGCCGCGGTGATAACTGTCCCGAACAACGATTTTTGTGGTGTTTTTAGATCCACTGCCTGTGTAATGTGTTTGTACTGTGCGGTTCTGTGTGCCCAACTCTTGCTCGTGCCTACCGTAAAAATATGAAGTATTAGGATCGGGTCCACACTCGTTATAACATTGACTTAGCTTCACCTTGAATCTGCTGACAATATGTTTGTGGTAGAATGTGTCACGCACTCTTGTGTCTTTTTTGGACTGAATTCTCGCTGAAATAGTGTATGGAAATAAAATTTCGTTTCAATTTAAAATTAAAACTGATGAGTATTTCACGTGAGGCTTATTTGTAATTCCGTTGTGGTTTGAGACGTTTGCAACGGACTATTCTTTAAATAATTATGGCTCATTAGAATAAATGCTAATCTTATTATTGTCACTCGTTGCGGAGCGTCGTGTAGTTTGCGCAAATCACTTGTTTCACTTGCGTAAAAATTGCCTCTAGGAGGTAAAAATTTTTTAACATTATATAAAATTTAACATAAATTGCGTCTTTTTTTGAAATTGATGTAGGGTGTGAAGATAAGTGTAAAAACTGTACGCATCAATTATGTACCTGTTAGTTCTATCGGTTGAGCCACCGTCATGATGGCATGATTAGTCTTGTCCAGCGTAATGCTGACATTCCCACTTACATTCCCAGAAGTCTAACATTCCCAGCAGTCTAACATTCCCACTTACATTATATACCAGCAGTCTGACATTCCCACTTACATTCCCAGCAGTCTGACATTCCCACTTACATTACCAGGAATCTGACATTCCCAGTTACGTCTCTTCTTACACTGGCCGGATGACTGTCATAAATATGTGATTATTGTCAGTCTTCTTTCTTTGGGAGAATCGATAACTGAATATCAAGAGGTATTTCTCCATTATATAGTCTCATTAAAAGATCTTGTCATCTTAACTCTACAAAAATTTTCGACCTGAGGATGCACCAGCTATACGCTGCGGTGGTCGCTCTAAGCGCATATCTTACAAGACATACCAGAACATCTGGCCTGTACTGTTTGTTTACAAGTCAGACTAATTTAATATTATATCTATCCATATTATATTATTTTATTCATATGATGGTATCTATTCATAGATATTACCTATAATATCTATTCATAGATATCCTAGATTTGTGGCCGCGCTCTCGTTCTTATGAAGGTCCGAAGTTAACAAATACTTCAGCGAAGCAAGCAAACCTGGGCGTAAATTTGGAATATGAAGTATGGACAAGCAATGTACATAGCGCATGTAATTTTTGTATCAAGTTACCCAAATGTATTGTACTCTATTTGACGAGTAAATATTGAACCTCTACTCCTTGTTATCCCTGACATTCTTCTGTTTGTTATTTCAACCGAGTATCTAATTCTTCTCCATATGTTACGTCAAATACAAAAAGAGTTATTATGACGAACTTTTATTTATACGTCTGTAGTCGTCCGTTAATTTGCCACATAATATTGTGACTGATTGACCACTTTAAGAAATCTGATTTGGTTATAGCGAGACATGTATGCACTTTACTAGTTGTTCACACCTGTTCATCATTTGTGCATTTATTCTCATTTAGTACAGAGAGGCGTCTAATTAACTAAACAGCGGGATTCATAAAGTGGTTAAATGACTCTATGATATAACAGAAACGTCCGTTGATATACATAAACACAAGTCAGGTGATAGAAATAAGAACTAATTCTAGTTTATGAAATCATATTTTCGGCGGTAGAAAACTCAAACTGCAGAAAATGGAAAATTAAAAACCATGAGAAATATAGTGATAAATTGACTAGTTGGAAAACGAGCGATATTAATAAATACACTAGAGAATAATTCGATTATCTTTTTGTATAAGATTATGTAAAAGCGATTGCCGATATAAATAACAGTAATAATAGTAGAGAAAAATCTGAAAACTAACTTGAATTTTAAAACCCCTATTTAATCATTGTAGAGAAGACTATGATATTCATAGTCTATCTGTCTATGATATTATTATTATTATTAGTCTATGATATATTATTATTATTATTATTAGTCTATGATATATTATTATTATTATTATTATTAGTCTATGATATTCATAGAGAAGACTAGCTGGCCTGGAAGAAGTTAATGAGATGCTGGAGGTCCAGAGAGCTATAGTTGTCGAGTATTTCAAGCAACTGAGGCACTCTACTCTTCACGTTGATGCCTTTGAACTTATACTTGTCTATGTAGAGGTCCGTGATCATGCCTGTATGTCGGGCGAAACAAATATCATCAGTTTGATTGAACTGAAAATAAAAAATTAGATCAGTACTCACTGAAGTGAATGACAGAGAGTGCATTTTCTCTCGTCCGTTCGTCCGTCACGGACGGACGGACGGTCATGACGAGCACAATAGCGCATTTTTTTCAATAAATGAGAAAATGCGCTAAAAACTACCACTATTAATAGCGGTAGTTTTTCGTGATGGAATTAATAATAACAACTGGTAAATTAATAAGTTCGTAACTCATTACAGATATAATCACGAAAGAAAAATACAGCGCATGAACTAACGCTGGAGACTCCTTTTGTATGGCTGACACCGTTAAATCAGTAGAGCGTATGCAATTTATCCACTATCAAGACGTTAGCACTGAAAATATGAGCGCAATTCTGTAGTTAAAGCTTAAGCTGTGTTACGTACATTATGTCAGTACCCGTGAATCGCTCACCGTATAGATAGATGTTCGAGATGGCAAGGCTGTTCTGAAAATATGTGCATAATTCTGTAGTATAAGCTTAATTTGTGTTACGTACATAAGGTCAGTATCAGTGAACAGCTCACCGTATAGACGTTCGAGATGGCAGGGCTGTTTGAGGTAACTGTGTGACGTATATTAGGTCAGTATCAGTGAACAGCTCACCGTATAGACGTTCGAGATGGCAGGGCTGTTTGAGGTACTGCTGCTGAAGGTTGTCCGCGTTCTGCAGGATGTACTGATACTCTGGAGACAAGAAGCTCGTGTCTGTCTCGTGCGCCTCCAGCTCGCGTAGTGCGTCGATGAGGGAAACCTGCAGTTCATGTGGCGAGTCAACAATTTTTTATGACGAAACCGTTTGGTACGCAAGAACTGAGAGTGTTTATTATTATTATTATTATTCGGATTTTAGGACATAACGAGCTAAAATGAATTCATTTCTAAGAAATGTAAATGAATTAGTCGATTGTTATGAGTTATTGATGGTGGAATACGATAAAATATAAGCCTTAAGCGTGTTTGCACTAAATATTTGCGGCAATACAAGAAAATGCATAAATATTCCTATAATTAAAAACTGTTTTGCAATTCAATCTATAACTTGGACTTTGAATTGCTATGGCAAAACATCACGACGGGGGCAGTTAAAAGTAAAAAAAAAAAACAGAAGAAGTCATAACAACGTCTGTCCCTTGAAAATTCATTTGTAAAGGTACAGAATTTTAAAGTAAAGAAATCGAGATATGTAAAGAAATAAACAGCAAGATGATAATTACGGATACATTGCAGCAAGTTGAGCGTGTACACAACGGACTCTTCGTTCACTTCACAGCTGATGCTTAGATGTACCTGCTCCCAACAATCTATTCAACTTTATTGTTTCAATTTAACAGTTTATTTAAAATTGGTTTTAAATGGTGATATTTTCAAGTGAAAAATTATAGTTCACAGATGGATAAGTTTGCATCAAATTGGGTAGATTACATCTTCCCATAATTAATTGGAATTAATTGGGTAGACGCACCTGATTATCAAGTGCAAANTTGTCTGACTTAAAGACCGCCTCGCCTGCTCGGTAGCGACAATTCAGCTGCAGAATCAGAGTCCAGGTATGATTACATTTTCTGCTGAGCAATTTTATCTAAGGGATATGTCATAATTAATTCCATGTCAACAAAGGTAAATTTCTGTCTAGAACCAAGCATTAGTAGTTTGCGATAGATAAAATTATTTATCTAAGGGATATGTCATAATTAATCCATGTCAACTAAGGTAAATTTCTCTATTACCAAACTCTAGTAGTTTGGGATAAATAAAATTAATGTTAATAATTAAAATTATTAAAATTATGCACTAAAACTAATTCACGGGATATATAAACTAAAGATATGAAAATGTATGTACCTGAGTCTGTAAAAAGGTTGATATGAAGGTAAATTCAGCAGTTTCTGTAGTTGGCGCTCGATCTGGCAGTTCGGGCAAACAGAAACAGACCCAAGCATGCATTTCTGGCAGCGTGAACTGGCCTCTGAGCGTGAGCACGCTAACCGGCCGCATTGTGTCGAAGTTGTGGATGCGAGAGTGCAGCGACAGCGGCTTGATGTGGAATTGTCGAACCTGAGAGTGAAATGAAAGTTGAGAACTTTTTGAGCGTTGCTGAGAACTTTGCACTAATATAATAGAATAGAAGTGTTGGCACTGAAGAAATAGGCCCATGCCTGTTGCCGATTCTTGTACTTTTCGTGACTTGATTCCACAAGGGATCCGGCCTTTGGAATCCAATCTTTCCATAACTGACGACTGTTTGAGATTGCAGCTGGACTTATTGCCTGGTAATATTCAGGTAGAGAAGATATAGAAAGAAGAAAGGAATTGAACTTCATGTGGAAACGTGATACCTACTTGACGGCACTAGAGTAAAGACCAGCAATTTGAGATATATCATTATTCACGTGTTTGCGAAGACCAAAGCCATAGAATCCACATGTTTAACTTTCTGATTTAGTTTAGACTCAGCAGGGATTAGTAGCTTCATTATTTACTAAATTAAACATTTTTTCATGAAACCGAGGTTTGATATATCGACTCGAGTACTCAAACTGAACAGTCCCCAGGCACCAGAGGCCGAGGCACCAGACTCAGAGGTAACAGAGGCAGAGGCAGCAGAGGCAGCAGAGGCAGGATCAGACCTGACAGCACTTGGGCTGCAGACGCGGCGTGATGTAGGCGTGCAGGCTGCCGAACTGTCCCTCGATGGTGCGGATGCGGACCTCCAGCCTCGTCGTGTTGGCCTGGCAACGGTAAGTCGCCAGCAGGAAGTTCCCGCTCTGAAATTGTCGGAATTATCGCGTAGTATGTGGCGGATCGGCATGTCGTCATTATCTTCACCAAAATGTTGACCATTAATTCTCAAAATCACGGAAAATTCACCATCGCAATCAAGAGGTTATAGTAGAATTCTATAGTAGAGTCGTAGAACTTTGTACCTGGCAGTACTTTATCGACGTGCACATTCTCGATAATAGTAAATTATCGCCATTGTTAGTAGTCAATTAGTGGAGGAAATTATTATCACCTCAGGGTCGCATGTGGAGTAGCTAACAACGGACGCATTGCGCTCCACATCCAAGAGGTCAATGGGTACGTCGCTCTGCAGTAGCACGTTATCGATGGCAGTCTGCACCTCCAGACATAGCAGGTACGAGGCGTCCGAGGTGTTCAGCGACATCTACATGGTCGAGATATCATCATAAATGTAAATTATTTTTGCATTTTGTGTTACACAACTGATACGAACTTCGTTTTTAAATTTTAAATAGTAAGTTACATGAATAAAAAACAAGTAAGGAACAGGATAATCCGAGAGATGAAAAAAATACATATCATTTCCAATAAATCGTTGCGTTACATCCGCAACTCAAGCAATGAAAATTTTAATGCTATGGTAAAACTAATAATATTATGTTACGGCTGATATTTTAAAAATTAAAATTATTTTCACGTGATATTGAGGATTGCATGCAACTGTTTACATATAACTCTACGTTCATTTCAAGATGAGTGACGTGATCGCAACCTTTTCGTTGACGGAGAACGTGGGTACAGCGGAGATGCCCGGGAAGGCGCTCTGCGTGGAGTTCTGGTAAGCTTCCCTCTCTCGCACCACAACCTGCTGTAGCTCCTCTACCTCACGCCTGCGTGGAACTCAACAGCTCTCATGTTCAGTTTAAGCGGTCAGTAGTTGACATAAATAGAATATCTTTTCTTATTTATCAAAGTTCACGCCTGCGTGAAACTCAACAGCTCTCATGTTCAATTTAAACGGTTTCAATAGCTCTCATGTTCAATAGCTCTCATGTTCAATAGCTCTCATGCTCAATAGCTCTCATGTTCAATAGCTCTCATGCTCAATAGAATAGAATAGAAGTGTCGGCGCTGGAGAAATAGGCCCATGGCCTGTTGCCGATTCTTGAACTTTGAATAAGCTCTCATGTTCAGTTTAAACGGTCAGTGGTTGCATAAATAGTATATCTTTTCCTTTTTATCAAAGTTCATTCCTGCGTGTAACTCAATAGTTATCATGTTCAGTTTGAACGGTCAGTAGTTGACATAAATAGAATATCTTTTCCTAATTATCAAGGTTCACGCCTGCGTGAAATTCAATAGCTCTCATGTTCAGTATATCTTTTCTATATATCAAGGTTCACGCCTGCGTGAAACTCAATAGCTCTCATGTACAGTTTAAACGGTCAGCAGTTGACATAAATAGTATATCTTTTCATATTTATCAAGGTTCACGCCCGCGTGAAACTCAGATAGCTCTCATGCTCAGTTTAAACGGTCAGTAGTTGACATATATATAGTAAATCTTTTCCTATTTATCAAGGTTCACGCCTGCGTGAAACTCAACAGCTCGCATGCTCTGTTTAAACGGTCAGTAGTTGACATAAATAGAATATCTTTTCCTATTTATCAAGGTTCACGCCTGCGTGAAACTCAATAGCTCTCATGTTCAGTTTAAATGGTCAGTAGTTGAGATAAATAGAATATCTTTTCCTATTTATCAAGGTTCACGCCTGCGTGAAACTCAATAGCTCTCATGTTCAGTTTAAATGGTCAGCAGTTGACATAAATAGAATATCTTTTCCTATTTATCAAGGTTCACGTCTGCGTGATACTCAATAGCTCTCATGCTCAATTTAAACGGTCAGTAGTTGAGATAAATAGTATAGCTTTTACTGTTAATAAAGATCATTTGTTTCTTTTGATAATTAGCAATATATTACACTGCAGGCATGAGATCTCATCGCAACATGCACCTGAGTTTGTCGATTTTCTCGCGGGATTCGCTGGACAGGTTGACGACGCCGGACTCTGACGTGACATGGCGGTCGACGGGCTCAGTCGTCAGGCCAAACACCCAGCCTTTAGGCCAGCAAACAATTAATTAATACCTTATTATGCGTGTGATAATTGTGTCTGATGATTAAATATTGTTAAAAGCAATTTGAAACAGGAATGTGATTCAGCGAATAATGGAAATTGTATCTTATGAAAGAAAAAACTTTTAAAAGCAATTTCAAACAGGAATGTGATTCAGCGAATAATGGATCGGTCAGAAAGACGGAAAATATTTTTACGAATTGATATTTCATAATCAGTGAGTCGCGTTGTTCCGATAAAATTGGTTGGAACCCTAATGTATATACATAACCTTATGTGTATAAAATCAGCTCGAATAGTTAGTAAACAATTCATCATCATCGAATGTACTTTAAATTTCGTGCTCTTATTGTATTTACTCAAAGATTATGTGCGTCTAAAAGTAGCCTTATGCCATTGCAGGACTCGTGCTATTATAAGCAAATACTATTATAGGATATTATTACAACAGATGACAATGGTAGGAACACAAGAGCGATAATCAAGATAGTATTCGATTATTATAAATGCAAAATATATGAGCACCGTCGTGCCTACATATACCCGTGTACGTGGACGCAACAATCTCATCGTAGTCAGCGTTACCGACCACACCTCCGGCCACCGACGTCACGCTCTCACTGATGGCCTGCGCACCACATAATAATATTAATAATAGTGGTTTCAGCGTATAGTAGGCCGTAGGCCTGTCACCGATTCTTAACATCGCAAAACATTCACAGCATTTTGCGGTCTCGAACTCGCAACTCACTGCTACAATTCTGCTGTGCTCAACCGCCCGGCCTCCTCGCCGATTTTGACCAGAAACTGGCGCACAGAGCTGGGATCGAACCCGCGCCTCTCTGCTCCAATCTTGGTACTCTGAACTGTAACCACTGGGCCACCCTGCCAACGTGCTGATGCAGCTTCAATATTCAAAGCTAATTTTTACTTTATAATCAAGGGAATTGCTTGGGGACAGATTGCATGAAAAGAACCTACATTTTAAACGATATTCAACATCTATAATCTTTTCGATGGAAAAATTTCATGGCCCCTGAAGGAACATCCTCATTATTTAATAATAAATGATTAGAAAGTTATTCTCATAATTAATAAAGTTTGCGCTTGGTTTCAAACTCAGTCAAAATATTGCACTGCACGTTACACACATAATACAAGACTGAAAATTAATTAAAAATTAACGCAAGTTTGATCTCCAACTAAGTTTAGAATATCGAATAAGACAGCCAGCTAATTCATTTTAGTTCCTCCTGCATTGGACGGCCAGCAAATTCATTTTAGTTCCTCCTGCACTGGACGGCCAGCAAATTCATTTTAGTTCCTCCTGCATTGGACGGCCAGCAAATTCATTTTAGTTCCTCCTTCATTGAACGGCCAGCAAATTCATTTTAGTTCCTCCTGCACTGGACGGCCAGCAAATTCATTTTAGTTCCTCCTGCACTGGATGGTCAGCAAATAATTTATTTAGTTCATCCCGCATTGTTAATAATTAACAAGGAACGCAGGACACGCGGCACTGACCGTAGTGAAGCGCAGCGTGGGCTCCATCTCGTCGCCGTCCTCGTAGGCGAAAACCTGCACGGCGCCTCCGTCCCGCCCTACGATGAGGTCCTTGACACCATCACCTGCCGCGTGTGTTGTGGTCATTGTATACGACGTGTGTTGTGTTGATGGCAGCCGACGTGTGTTGTGTTATGGTAGGCCTGTACGACGTGTCTTGTGTTGATGGCAGCCGACGTGTGTTGTGTTATGGTAGGCCTATACGACGTGTGTTGTGTTGATGGCAGACGACGTGTGTTGTGTTCATGGCAGTCGACGTGTGTTGTGTTCATGGCAGCCGACGTGTGTTGTGTTCATGGCAGCTGTATATTCTTTGTGCGTTATTTGTTCATATATTTCAAGCGTATGCGTAACACAAAGAACATTGTCCGTGGTAATTTTTTTCAGATTTATATGCATATAGGTACGTAATATATATTTTTGTTTAGAAATTAAGTACTTTGAATTCGCAGCATCTGTATTTAGCATTTATAATATTATTTTGATGGAACAACTAATAATTTCAAATTAAACTGTAATTATAAATAAAGTCATATTTCACACAGTGTATCGTAAGACCACGCGAAATTTTGTTGATGCTCAACAATATTAAAAAAACTCTGCGAAAAAGCTAGGCTCATTGATGTCATTCCAGCATAAAAAGAATATATTAATGCTACATTAAAATCATTGTTGCATCATAAGCTCATCAAAAAGACGGCCCCTGACATGTATCATCCACAATCCTGCCCAACAAATAGCGTTATAGTTATAAAAAGTTAACAAAATTATGAACCCGTCATGTCGTGGTGATCCATGCAGGTGATGCCCCCCGCTGTGGTGGTGGCTGCTGCCCCGCCTCCCGGTCCACTCCCCAGGCTGGACGTGTCGCACACCCAGCGGTGACTGGCGGCGCTCCTTCAGTTCCAAAGAGTTCAGAGTAGTTTGAATTAATTAAAAATATAAAGCAAGAAACACATGGACAGTATAAATGTGTTAATTGAAGTCATTTGTGGTTTATTATTGGCTTTACTTTCAGCTTTTACTTAACCCTTTCGTCACGGATACATTTACATTTGCTATTCGTGCTTCGTGGTTTGGGCTCGAGAAGCCCGGCCAGTCACGAAAGGGTTACACTTACAGTACTTAGGGCATTGTAGATTTTCTCGTACTCGTGCCTACATTGATAAATTATTTTATATAAACATTCAAAGCAAGGATTACCTGCCAAGTTGGATGAGCCCCAGCCTGCCGTCAGTGGTGCCGTAGAGCACCAGGTCGCCGGTACTTATTACCTGTACTTATATTACCTGCCAAGTTGGATGAGCCCCAGCCTGCCGTCAGTGGTGCCGTAGAGCACCAGGTCGCCGGTCTCGCCAGCGTCGCCGTAGAAGAGGTGCAGGGCGGAAGGAGTGCCGGGCAGCTCGAGGCTGTACAGGACCTCGTGATCACGCAGCACCCGCACCAGGCGGTCCTCGCCTGCGATGACTGGCACCATGTCCTTCACCTGCACATAAAGTGATGTATTTTAAAAGTATTTTCTGATTTATGGCGAAAAGGCACTGTTGTGCTCGTCATGTCCGTCCGTCCGTCCGTCCGTGACTTCACGAACGGACGGGCGAGAAAATGCGCTCGCTTTCACTCGCTGCAGTGAGTACTGATCTAATTTTTTCAGTGAAGGTTTGATGTGTCGTGCCACTTGCTTATGAATATGTTGTCCTAGTTTTGAAGTTGAATGTGTGAAGCAGTTAATGTTCATATTTTTACTTAAGAATGCGGTCGTAAAATTTTATTCATTTCATTTTTTGAAGTGAATATTCTACCCGAAGTGCAATATGAAGGTACCGGTGCAGCATATATATTGATTATTTACTTTTTCGGCTGGTAGAGAAAGAACATCGGAAATTTTGTCTGGACATAGAAAGTCGTTGGCTTCCTGGCAGTCATTGTAGTGGCTGTAGACGTAGTCCCCGCACACCAGGAGATCACTGCCACTCACGTGCCTTGGAAGCGATTCATTCTGGATCAGTTATAAACCAAAGTTTTATGGTCATTAAAAAACAATCTCACATAATGATGCAGCACGCCCAGACCAGCTAGCCAGCTGTAACATTATAAAATATCAACTCAGAGAGTCCACTCTTCAGCATGTAGGATATCATTATGGACAAGCGCGCCTGGATGAGGTCCCTGCTCATTATATACACAGTTCCGTTAAAGTTTATCAATGATAATAGATAAAAAATTTTTAATGGTATCAAACATGACGAGGTCTATTTTGTGTAATTAATTTCATGGTATACATGTAATGGATCAAATTGAAAAATATTAAATGGTTCATTATAGCCCCTCTAGTAATTGTCAGAAATCTCATTGGTGAGGAAAGTTTTATGAACTCACATGGATTTAATGTCTTCTGCGAGGTTTGTGTCGAATCCTAGAAACTGTTTCCCTTTCTTTGTGTAGCCGCGAACTTCGTTGCCAGCTGACACAAAAATCTTGTCCTTGGGAGTGTCTGTAATAAAAGATAATATGACTGTGATAAATTATGTTCTTCGGATCTGCTCGACTGTGACTCCATAAAATTTGATTCAGATAACAGATTTATTTACTTAATGTAGTTAATGACCTAATGAACCTTTCTTACTGTGAAGTTGTGAACACGTACGAACGAATGTATTCGCATTTCGGTCACGAGAACGGAGATGTCGGACTTTCTGGGGGGAAGTTCCCTACAACAATAAAGAGCAAGTAACAACTTTAAAGACTTCTAATATAATTACTAGTGGCAAGTTTCTGTATGCATTCCGTCATGCTGAAGTTAAAATAATTTACTCACTCAGCGCGCCTCCGAGCTCAAGTCGAGTAATGGATTTGCCAGGTACGGTTTTAAAGGCTAGCTGCAACGCTCCCCTTTTCATTGAGAATAATTGCAGCAGTCCGTCGCAGTCGCCCACAGCAACCTGAATAAAACATAAATTAGTTTAACGAAAGTCATGCATATGGCAAGGACAAGTATGACAATATGTCTTTTCGATCAAGGGCTTACTTTTTGTTGAGCTCGAGATGCACTTGCGGGCAAAATTTTCAAACATTTTGTTGCTGTTAGACCGACTTGCTGATAATCGACCCTTGATAGCTGTAGCTCCATAATTTTTCTGACAAAAAAGACACAAAAATTTCAAAGTAATATAGCAGAATGATAAGCTTTTTATCACATCTATTTGATTATAAGTGTACACCGTGCCACCGCTGCTCAGCCATTTGTGTTTTGTTTGATTCTGTTGTCATGGCATCTTAGAATTCGAGTTGAATGATGACGGATGAACACTTTTTTAATTAGTTATGTTATTACAGGGATTTGATTATAATTATTGCTCAATTTAAATATTCATTTGATTATCAAGTTCATAAAAATTGTTTGGTCTTAATGGAATTATATTTCTGAAATACGATAGACCTATAAATTTGGTGTATGAAAGGCACATGAATATATTGAAATAAACTATTCGATTAGGGAATAGAACTCATTTTTGAGATAACATTCAATATGAGTAATTAAAATCTAATTGAAACGTAAAAAATTATACTCTGTTAAATCTCACATCATTAATAGAAAAACTGATCAAAACAAACGTTTCTTTCGTCTATAGTTGAAAGTTTAAACTGCGCGCGTGTTGTTTAATGTTGCTATTCGTACACTAAAATGTTCGTCACGAATATCATTAAAGAATTTTACGATTGCATATCGGGGAAGGTAAAGTACTGTAAAGGATCAAAATCTTCCTCTAATATTTCAACTTTTAGACTAATTTTCACGATCCTTAGTTGAATTTAACGTCAAATTTTTTTCATTAAGATTTAGACTACCGGTAGTGGTACTCTATTAGTCAATACTATAGCTACTAAGACCTAAGTCAAGTGAGTAGTGACTATTATACAAGATGAATACTCCCGTTTCCTCACCTCATCATTCATGGGTCTTGCAGGCTGCAGCCAGGCAGAGATTGCTCTGGTTACTGGTAGCTGCCATGGTTGTGTTACAACTTACAAGCTTTACTCATATTGATATGGGACATTCTCTTTCATTGCAGCAAGTTGAGAAACTAGGTAATTGAAAATTTAGAACTTCTATCAGTTCTCTGAAGTTGTCTTATAGACTATAGTAATAATGTTATTTTATTTAATATTCATTTATCCCCATTCTGAAATATTTGGTAGCCTACAATTTACCAGTAAACTGCCAGTATAAAGTCTATAAACTATCAATTGCTGGAGATTTTTTTACAAATTCTATTTAAAAACTGACCATTTTTAATTAAAAAAATAAAAATTGGTCATTTTTCATTTTCTACTAAAACAAAGCTTAATATAAAGGAAAAACTAGAGAAGTGACGGAATTACCTACGATGTCGGAATATACCGCGTTTACCCTATTGGGTACAATTTACCAGTAAACTGCCAGTATGTATAAAGTCTATAAATTATCAATTGCTGGAATTTTTTTTTTACAAATCTTATTTAAAAATTGGCAATTTTTAATTACAAAAAATAAAAATTGGTCATTTTTCATTTTCGCTAGAAATAAATTGGCCATTTATTTCTAGTGAAAAAATTAGTCAGAGACAAAAAAACTTGGATAAAATTGACTGCTAATATTAATAGGATTAGAATTTCCTAGTTCTGAATGAAATTTTGCATCTCTAAAGCAATCAATTTTGTATAATTTAGAATCTTGCTACACTTGCCCTTGGTGCTTGGTGGCAAAGCAGAGACTTTTTATACTCTTTCTGTCCCTCAATCCTAACTGGAAGAAACAGGATTATTTATGCAAATATGCTTGTTTGAACTCTTGCTGTCTTGCATACTTTTCAAGTGAAAAAATTATGTATGTTAATTCAATTTTTCAAATATACCTGGACAGCATCATTCAACAAAATTGCAATTGGGAAATAAAATCTGTTCAAAGCAAGGAGTAAGAAGGATCTCACCAGTCACCACCAATACAGCATGGCCGTTTTTAAGGCATGGCTGTTTACGTCTCTGACTGGTTGGCAGTCAAGAAACTGGCCGTGGCTCCTGGCAAGTCCTCGGTCATGCTCTTCACCCCAGATACGCACCAATCCCGTTACCACCCAGCTGCCACCATCTGCAATGTCAGTTCGACTCGCGTAGTCAATATACTCGCGTATATTGTCGACTAAAATAGTAGAACTATTTTAGCTTTCTAAAGTACGGCGCACGGCGCATTTTTTTACCAACGTAGTATGGCGCACCGCGCAGATCGTTAAAATGACAAAATAAATTCCCGCGCACCTGGCACATCTTCCTGACCATGAACTGGAAGAAACAGGATTATTTATGCAAATATGCTTGTTTGAACTCTTGCTGTCTTGCATACTTTTCAAGTGAAAAAATTATGTATGTTAATTCATAGTATGTTAATTCAATTTTTCAAATATACCTGGACAGCATCATTCAACAAAATTGCATTGGAAAATAAAATCTGTTCAAAGCAGGAAGCAAGGAGTAAGGAGGATCTCACACTCACCAGTCACAACCAATACAGCATGGCTGTTTACGGTTCAGAGTATACCAAGAATCCAAGCTGGCATGAAATATATCTACTTGGCGAGCCGCAAATGAATTTTTCGAGCCGTGGTTTTATAGATTTGCCAGCCGTGATTCCATTTCTTTGAGCCATGATTCCATTTCACCGAGCCGTGAATTCCATTACTCAGCCATGAAAAGCCATTTACAAGGCGCGAATTTATTTACAAAGTCCATGCACGTGTTACCCCAAATCTCTAATTTTACCCTAAAACAGGCAAATTGCAACAATAAAATTTGTCTTTACTGTAATTTGAGCACGTGTTAATGCAGTCTGACCACTTTGACATGACTGCAACTATGCGCGATCTTCAACAAAACGTTTAGTTGATTTGTTTACATTACGATGTTTATGTTTTTTCTGCAAGATATTTTGGCGGGAACGGTAAAGCAATGCGAATTGCGCAAGTTGAACATTTTATGAAATGACATGTTTGCAAAGTGCAAACCGCGATTTTTCAATTGAACAAAAATTTATGACATTCAAGCCACAAGATTTCATACCTACTGAAATTATATGATATTAGAGCCGCAATATTTCAGACAGAAATAGGACTTTTCCAGCCCTGTGACCAAGAATGTCATAGTCAGAGAGGTGCGGGTTTAATCCCAGCTCTGTGTGCCAGTTTCTGGTCAGAATAGGCAAAGCGGCCGGGCGGTTAAGCATAGCAGAATTGTAGCAGTGAGTTGCGCTTTCAAGACCGGCAAAATGCTGTGAATGTTCTGCGATGTTAAAAATCGGCAACAGGCCTGCGGCCTACTCAACGCTTAAACTGCTATTATATAATTATTATTAATAATATAGTGAATTCCTATATAATTAATATATTCTATGGTGAGATGTAGTTATTCCTTCTAAATCCATTATTGTATGGTAAAACCCAAATCCCTTACAAGTATGAAAATTATTAGGTCTGTCAGCAAATTAAAATTTCCAGTTGAGCTCTCATTTTAAGTACTATAAGGACCAATAAAGTGTCATGGTTACCAGTATTATCGAATACATAACACAATTATGGTACTATAAATCTGAAGTAGATGAGGAAATTCAAAATGTACTGACTGTAAAAAATGTATGCTTTTCCACCATGTCTCCAATTTGAAATATTGGGCAGAAGTTTCCTAGAATTGTAGGTAAAAGGGAATTTTGCAAATTGCAGAAATTTAAAATAGATTAGCTGTTTTTCTTATTTTTCACTGAAGAAATTGTAATAAGGCCTTGGGAATGGATGAAATTAGCCCAATTTACAGGCATTTTTGACTGATTCACAAGTGGTTTCTGCCAATTTTCTACTTTGGCTATGTCCCTCTGCCCAATTATGCCATGGTTTTGACTTTGGCAAATGTGTTGCCAGGATATGGTTTTTAAGCCCAAAATGTCACCAGCATTATTCAGGATGCATTGTGACATTGCCAGCAGTAGGTACCGACATTGCCAGCAGTAGGTACCGGTATTCAGGATATGTTGCCTCATCACCAGCAGTTTTCAGCCATCACCACATGGCACATGCAATGCTGCCATGGCATAGGTATATCTCCCACTTGTTTTGATTGCTTGTATCTGTCACCCACACCAATTGTAACACACCCATGTCCATGCTGATCATCTCAGGGATGTAGTGTGCTCTAAATCCCATTTAATTATCAAAACATTCTTTTGGTGCATTTTTTTTGCATATCTTCAGCAGAGTTTTTATTTACAGAGAGTGCTGGTGTTGGTGCATTCTGACCTGGATGCCATCTGCTCAGGCAAGATACTGCAAGCTCTATTCCGAGCTGATCACATTCTCTACACTCTTTGTCCAGTCCTCACATTATCAGATCTACTTACAGCTGTTAAGAGTCATAAAGAACAGGCAAGTTGAACTGTGCAATTATGAATGTTAAATATCATCTTGTATGTATGATTTTTACCTCATGATGTTTGAAATTTTGTTCTATTAAAAGGCTGGTGGCAGATATTTTGTATTTTTTATCTACATCAACTATACCTGTATAAATACAACTGTTTGTCTGGAATATTAGTAGGTACCTATGAATGTGATTAGGAAATTGTTCATATATGTAGGTATATAATATGGCTTTCATGAATTGTGAGGAACTTTTCTGGGATAATGTGCTTGGTTTGATTACATTCTTTCCATTGACGAGTAGTATATATTTGCAATATTGATTCAAATAAACTCTGGAAGATAAAATGAACTTGAGACAGGAAGAAAACTGGATTTCAAGTTGTAATTGGTTTTGTGTTCTTGTAGAAGTTTTGTGTAAAAAACATGGACATAGGTAACTTTCTCATTGGCAATCAATAGCTCACTGTTTATTTCTTGACATCATAAAATTGAATGAGGTCATATACATATAAAACAAATTGGTCTTAATGAACAATCTCTGTTTATTCTGCAGGTGTGCAGTAATCTGACTGCCAGTTTGTCAGAACACCAGCTAAATTTTCAGGAATCAGAGCATCTTGCTCAATAAATCATGTCCAATTCTGACAATTAAAAAAATTTCTTTCAATATTGTCAGTTATGTATCTGGAAAAGGCTAGCAAATAAAATAAATAGTTTTTTAACTAAAATTTGAAAAATTCAAGAAGTGTTATTGCTCCATCATGAAGAGATGTCTAAGGAATAAAACTGCCTTAATGGTTCTTGATAATTGTTAGGTTTTTGCAGTGCTCTCATACTTTGCTTGGTAACCTGGTTTGCACATGTTCAAATGTGATGTCAGAAATACATGCATCTCTGCAATTAGGATTTTTTCTTGATCACTAGCAAAATACCACCTTGCAAGATACATTAAATTTGGGCTCATCTCAGTAACATCTATCAGTAATGGAAATGTTATAGAGCTTTTACATTATTTTCAGAGGGAGTCAAAATTTAGAATTTGTCAGTATTTGCCATATAGCTGCTGGCAAATGCTTTTACTGTACTTTAATAATACATTTTCATATAACTATTACTTGTTTCCTTCCAGATAAGTTCAATAATTCTCATCAATTGTGGAGGAACTTTAGATTTGGTTGAGTTCCTGGAATTACCCCCACACATCAAGGTATTTCTTGCAGACACTCACCGTCCTCTCCATGTTTGCAACATTTACAGTGATGATCAGGTGAGATGTCATTTAGATAATGAAATTATTCATTTACTGACATAAAATTACTTTCTTCATTAAAGCACAGTTTTGATTCACTATCTTTTACAGTGGTGCCCCAACTGAAATCTGTGAGTAGGTACATTTAGTTTCATTAATTATTATTATTTAATCATTTTTAATTTCACTATAATGTTTAATGCCTTACATGAGTTAATTTGGTGATGATTTGCAGCAGTTGCCACATGGCAAGCACCTGGTCCCAGTGGACCAATATTGAATTCAAACAGTACACATAATTAATGCCCTGATTATTTTGCTTATTATTGCGATATGCAAGTAATTGTGAACATTCTATTATTATTTTGAAAATGGGCAGTATGAAAGAGAACTTGGTGCATTATTGGGTTAGTGAGAAAGGAAACCTGTTATGATATGGCCTGTGTTAGTACCATACTGTATGTTAAAAATGGTGCCATAGTTTTCATAAGATTATTTATTGTTCATGTTTAGGGCTGTTTGTGCAAAGTTTTTCATATATTATTTCTCCTTTGGTCCATATTTTTCATTTATGGCTCATTTTTTCTAATTACAGATAAGGATTTTGGGCCAGTTGGATGATGATGAGGAAGTTCCTGCTTTTGGTGATGTTTTCAGGGATGATGAGGTAAACTTGCTCCATAGGTACACATACATTAAATTGGTCAGATTAAATGCTATGATTTATATGAATTTTGTTTGGTTTTGTGGAATTTTATTTTATTTCTACAATTACCTATCTCAATAGTTGTGGATTTTCATTAATTAGGAAATAACTGATTTGTATAATAAAACAAAGTAGGTACTCGCAAATATTTTTTAATACTGACGGTCAATTTACGGTTTATTAACAGAATTTATATATAGATATTTCCTTAACAACGGAAAAATACATTTGGTTCAAGCCTTTCTCTGATTAATGATGCTATTTTATTGATGTGTGCAGACATCTGAGAGTGAGGAAGAGGATGAAGATGGTGTCAGCAGAATATCTGAATCACGGTTAGAGAAGCAGCGGGAGCGGAGGCTGTGGGAACAGAAGCGCAACAAGCTACTTTTTGACTACTCACAGTTCTCCTACTTTGCTGGCTCGGTTAGTAGCCAACTTATTGCTGTTTAGCATTTATTGGAATGTTACATAATTGCTATTTAATATAATTTTCTGTCTGATTAACTTGCTGGCATCCAAGTATACATAATTTTTTAAGTGGAACTTCTACTGGTTCGTATACATGTTATATTTGCTAAAATTTATTTCATTTTGTGCAGACTGCAACTTTGATGTTTGAACTGGCATGGAAGCTCTCCAAGGATACCTCTGATCTCCTGTGGTCAGTGCCTGCACTAATATTTTGTGGTATATTTATATATATTTTCAATTGCAAACCATCTTGACATTTTTTGTTTCCAAAAACTGTTGAATGTCGAATATTGGCTAGTGTCATATTCCAACTGAGAAAAAAACATTAAAGCTTTACCCTTGATCTGTAAACATTAAATATACTGATGTAGAATAAAATGGTCGAAAAAATTCCTGAAACTTTTTTTATTTGAGACCAGCTCTAACATTAGTTCTAAATTTAATAATACAAATATACGGTAATCAATTGACTACTTAATTTATAAATCAGAGATTAAAACCTTAGAGATCAAAGACATAGTATTGTGAATACTTAAATTACGCTCTTGTTGACAATTTCAAGCTAATATTATTGATATTATGCAGTTAGAAGTCATTCAGACAAGGTTTCTATTTGAAGACATGCAAGACTTTCGAAATCACCAAATCAGAAAATAGGCTGTGTGATAGGCGTATGTAAGTTTGTTGGGGTTAAGCAAAATGTTCACCCCATGTCAGCTGTCAATGATATTCCATCTGATGTTTGCAGGCTGGCAATTGTGTCTCTGAGTGGTGAGCAATTATGCAGTATACGCGAGCAGCACAAGCTGGCATTGTGTGCTGCAGATCTCAACACTCACGTGGCTCGTCTGCACCACACCAACCATACCGACACCACAGAGCCAGCCGCTGATACCATCACATTCCAGAAAGAGTGCGTGATTGAAAAGACTTATATATCCTGAGTCTGTTTGTATAGCGATCCTAGATTTCAAACATTTGGGTTATTTTTATCTTACTTTTTAGTTTATTTTTAAATCGTGTATATCAATTAATTGATTCAACTTTTTTTTCTTGTGTGCTTTATGGTATAGCAAGATGTATCCACTTGATTGGTAGGGTTCATTCAATGAATTGATGTTTTTCTTGCTTTTGTGTTAATTACTTATTATATTCTAAATCTTTATCAAAACTTGTACTTGTTAAACTTGCATATTTTTTTGTTAAATTGATCTTTCTAATTTAATAATGTATTCATCTGCAGTTCCAATATTCTAAGCTATGATAATTGATCCCATGAATTACCAGACTCACAGCACTTATGATGACATGATATTGTTAGCGTGCAGTTGTCACTCTACCGGCACTGGAGTTTGGTGGAGAGCATGAGACATTCGCCGCTCACAGCCACATCTCTCAAGCTCTGGACTCACAAAGGAGAAAAGAAAATGTTTGAGCTGCTCGCAGAATTAGGGTGAGACTCTTCAGTTAGCAAATGATTTTCTGTGTCATGTGACAGAAACTTGCTAGATGTGTTGAGGTGACCACGAAAAAACTTTGATTCAATTGTATTAACTGAAATGGCCTGAGCTTTCAGTGGTATTCATTGTTTTTATTTTTTCTTGTGTCATCCAATTGTTCTTGATGATTCATTGGCTTTGAATGACTGATTTTATTTATTTTTTCAACATTTGAACTAATAATTTTTTAAAGCTTGATAAGAACGCCTTGATTGACTTCTCCGATTCTCTTCTAACTATCACTTTTATATATGGTTCAACCAGTTTCGCGCATAAAGTTTATGGATTTGACTTTTTTAACACAGGTTACCTCTCACTGAGTGTCGCCAGCTGTTTTGTGGCATGGACGTCAAACTCAGGAGTGAATTACCCACTTTACTAGAAGGTAATGTCTTTCACGCATTTCCTATTTCACATAGAAATGCATCTTCATTTGTGTGCGACCATGTAATTGATTGCATTATTATTATTTGAGGTAGTTACATTTCGCCCTCTAATGTTATTTCATTCTACTAACATTTATTGAGATTTCTCAGTGCTAGTAACTAATGTTATTTTTGCTACCATTTTCTTGGGTACATGGCTATTATTGTCACTTATTTGTAGTTAGTGATTAATGCTGATATTTCTTTTTGTTTCAATTTTTCTGTAAGACTTCATATATGCTCATTTTGGTGTTCGTTCATTTGCATATCCACATTAGTTATCAATAGAAAGATCTTTTTCATTTGATGTTCACACCGTACAGGTAAGGCAGATAAGTACGGCCTGGGCGGGCTTGTGACGCCTTCGTTCTCGCGCAGTTTTTGGTGTTCGTTCATCTGCATATCCACATTAGTTTTCAATAGAATGGTCTTTTTTTCATTTGTTTTTCACACCGTACAGGCAAGGCAGATAAGTACGGCCTGGGCGGGCTTGTGACGCCTTCGTTCTCGCGCAGTCACGTCTTCCACTCGCGCTGCAGCGCCAGCGACTTCGCGCACGCCGCTCTCGCGCTCCTCGAGCCGCCATCCACCGACGGCCTGTCCATGAGTCATGCCTTTCTTGACGCTTCCGACTGCTTGAATGGGTGGGAACTTGATATTTAGTTGCCAGAATGATCGTAAAATGTGTTTAGCTTATAACGGTATGCAGACGTAAGGTACCTAAATCAAAGTTACTGATTGGTGTGGGATTTGAAGATCATATATTTACTAACCGAAAGTGAGTAATAAACTCACACGACGCTTTTGTTACTACTAATGTTGCCCTATTATGCCGTTTTCCTTGCATTATAAAATTTTAGCTGAGCGAAAATCTTGACCGTTTTCAAATCTAAATTTACTAATCTCGTGACATGCAAGGAAGGCATCTAAATTTCGTGCACAATTAAACCCCAATTTCAACTTTCTCCGAAGGGCGATTATGGGAATCAAGTTTCACATTTAATAAAGTTTTAGTGTTATCATGAACTGTAATTACGTTAGATTGACTGCAGCCCATCAACAGGTCTACGGTGTTCGCAAAGGGCATTGCAAGCGCCAGGAAGCAGCTGGAGGCTGTGTACCGGCAGATGCAGACGTTCCTTGATATGAATCAAGTCATCTCCGCTGGCCCCTTCCTCTATGCCACCGTCCTGCAGGTTACTCATATACCGTATTTGCCCAGTTTTCTGTATAGTGGGATAAACATGAAGGGACTTGTTAGAAAGCTGTACAATTAACTGAAAGCTACTACCTGTACCTATGTAGTTTTTTTGTGATCTCGCCGGACATGTGTCTGAAAATCTTGGCAAAGATAATTTATGTGAAATGTTACAATAAAATCAAACTATACTAGTCCTTTTTCATTTCAAATGAACCGCCACAGAAACGGCAATTTGCCGTTATTAGTGTATTGTGTTTTGATGGATGTTGAAGCTGGAACTGAGGATTCGTGCTCTGGATTTTTAGTATAAATAATTTGGAATATAGTACATTTATGAACAATCAATCTGTGGCATAGAATACCTTCATTTGAATGTTTCTGTATGTGCAATGAGTTAATATGCCACCAGTTTTTCAATGATGAGGATATTATCTTCGATCATTAGCACTCACCAATGTCTACCAAACGCAAATTCTGTACATAACATTTGAAACGAGGCGGTTCTCTTAAACAGGGTTTTCTTAATGAATTAATGCTGGTAGGATCTTTATGAATTAATGCTGGTAGTATCTTTATGAATTAATGCTGGTATTATCTTTATGAATTAATACTGGTAGTATCTTTATGAATTAATGCTGGTATTATCTTTACACAGCGTAAAGTGATCATCATTTCCCTATAGCAAAACACCTCAATTTTTATGCCTAAAACTTTTGTTACCAAATTAAGACGTGTGGTATTAACGACGATGTGGTGCAGGGCTCGCCGCTCGCCGCGTTCATGAGCGGCCCTCACGTGCTGGGCGCTCTGGGGAGGTTCACGCTGGGTGCTCATGTGAGCGCCTCTCGCAACAAGAAGGCGCGCTCGCTACCGCTGGTGCTCACCACGCCAGACTCCAGCCAGCCCCAGGACTGGTGCCTCGTGTGTGGCATTCCGCCCCTCGCTGACACCTCACACAGGAAGTGCGTCCTTGTTACTAGTCTTATTTTCGCCAGCAGTAATATTGGGGAATTGATTTATGAGTCCTTGCTACTAGTCTCATATTCGCTAGCAGTAATATTGGGGAATTGATTTATGAGTCCTTGCTACTAGTCTCATATTCGCCAGCAGTAATATTGGGGAATTGATTTATGAATATATAATTTTTTTGCATTTTGTACAGTATTTGTACCGGGAATGTACCACTTGGCCCATGCGTGACTTCGTAAACTCTGCTTGGATGTATTTTTGTTTGAATATGGAGAGAGCTATAAAATGGAAACCTTTGTTCAGGGAATTTAAGCTGTCTTGATCAATATTATTGTGGTCATAAGAAAGTTATCTGGCTGAATGATGACTGTCTATTTATCATATTCTTGTTTTAATTTGCAATGTTCATGGGTTGCAATGATTGTAACAATGATTGGGGGAAACTTATATTATCGTGTTTATTGATGAATAACTAGCGGAATTACGAATGGCGTGGCTGAAGAGTTTATTTAGGCTCAAATTTCATCTCCATTATTAATTTGAAATGTATTTTAGTATGGTTTGAAAGTTGGTGGTTGACGCCTGACTTAGTATAAATTCATCTTCGTTCTAACAGTAGTTACCGTATTGGGATATTACCAGTGTCTGGAAACCCATTTTTTTTGGTGGAATTATGAAGCATTATAAAACTGAGGTTGAGAAGGTATCAAAACGAGCACGAGTTTTACGTTTTGAAAAAGAGGGATTTAATTTTTGCTTAGAATATTACAGTTCTTTAAAAATTTAAAATCTGAGTTTAATTTTAGGGTAATTTTGGTTTTGAAATGATATTTTTCGTATTGAATTTTCTTTCATCCAAAAATTATCAACAGTAGGTATTTAAATAGTACCTATAACAAGATTAGCTGCAACAAGATTCTTAAATCTTGAATTATCCATCGTGGATAATGCCTCATCAAGCTGTGCTAGCATTAAAATAACTTCCACCATTCTAGCAAGTTTCTAATGCAATAGAACAGGACAGTTGAGCGACATATCTCGTGTTTTGCAGTTTTTTTGGCAAGGCGTTCGAGCAAGCTGTGTCCAAAACTCAGTCACGAGCCCAACTCGAATTTTTCGACTCGCACGGTAAGTACATATGGTCAAGCTTGGTGTGGTCTTTAGAACAGTTCTTCCTTCATGTTGAGGGTTGTTGCTGAATTGGTTATGAAGTTTTCTTATTAATAATTTGAAGGTAGTGACAATAGCGCCGTGAAATAGAAAACAAATACCTACAAACTGAGTTTTCATTTGTTTACAAACAAACAGTAATGATAAATAGTAGGTAATCTCTGTAATGAAATTATTATTATTACGTTCCATTTAGAATCAATATACTATCAATGTAGAGAAATTAGTCATGATTTACGTTTGTTTTGCTACAAATGTTATTAATGTAACAATTCTAACTACTTTTATTGAAGCAACAGAATCCTCAATAATAAAGATATTTTTGATTGCAGTTATTCGGCTTCATGTGGAAGACAGAAGCAAGTTTTTTGATGCCCTCATCTCCCTCCTGAGTTGATGCACGAGAAGCTCCTCCAGTCTTGAACGCTCATCACCTTTGTACTGTCGGCTGCTGCTGCTGCCTGTAGTTACCTCATGTCTTGTGTGTGTCTGTATACTTGCTTAAAGAGGGCGTGCTTGTTATTAACTTATTGCACTGACCACTCCTTAACGAAACGAGTACAAGGCTGCACTGTTTGACACTTTTTTTGGGGGCATTTATGATGTTGCACTGTAGACTCCCTAACGAAACGAGTACAAGGCTGCACTGTTTGACACTCTTTTTGGGGGCATTTATGATGTTGCACTGTAGACTCCCTAACGAAACGAGTACAAGGCTGCACCTGTCTCTTATACACATCTAGATGTGTATAAGAGACAGCAAGATTACAGTATGAGAAGACATGGTTGCAACGAGAGAGTAATGATTGAAAAGTCTAGTGTGGAAAAAGATCTCGGAGTTTATGTCGACAAGGAGCTGAAATTTTCTAAGCATGTTGAAACGCAAGCTAACACATCCAACAAACTTCTTGGACTAATCAGAAGCTCATACGCTGTCTCTTATACACATCTAGATGTGTATAAGAGACAGCCTCGTGGCTGTCCTCGCGGCTGTCCTCGTGGCTGGCCTCATCACCATCGCTCGCAGGGCTGCCTCCATCACAACTCTGTGTCCTGCTGTGTTTGTGTTGTCGCACGCGCCAAAATCCATTTTTTTCGATGCACGTCGTGGGGTTTGGTGTTGAATGATAACTACATGTTTATTGTACTCTTTTAAGCTGAATATTTTTACTTATAATTTGATGTTCTCTCGCTTTCTCCAATGGCTCGGTTTTTGCAGGGGGATTTTAGCGCGCGTTTGCCTCGCCGAATGAAATGCATGTGCGTTGTGCCTTCTATTATTGGTTCTCTATATTTCTTTAAATCATTTGTCTTTGTGGAAACGTTTCTCAGATGTTGACTAGCTGCCAAATACTCCTTGTTCTTTGACGGCTGACTCTTCAACAGCTGTGTTTATTACATATTAACCTGTTTAAAGTCATGCATGTTGCCGAAAAGACGATGTTTCTGACCGTTTATTTTTTCTACCAGAAGGTTTTTAAACTTCCCGTAAAGCTTGTCATACCAAGTACGATTTTAGTGCCCCGCATATCTGATTCTTGTATTTATTTTGAGAATGTGCTGTTCATGAATGTGTGGCTTTTATTTCTGTTTACCTGTGATGGTTGGTTAAATGTATCGTTGAAATTTTGTACTTATCATGTTAGTAAAACTTTTCATAGTGAGAATCTGCTTAATATCCTTCTCGATGAATTGTCTTCATCAATAGTTTGAATACCAGGCATTTCTGCTAGGTGGTCGAGCGTCTTAAGTTATTGTTTCTTCAAATTTCAAATAGCGATGATTGACGAATTATAATAAATCAATTAAATTGAGAAATGCTACATATTAAGCATGATAATTGGCGATATAGCCACCAGCCAGCTTAGGCTGGAATTACGTTCATGTAGTATCGAGGTGAGACAAGTTGTAATTTGAAGCGTTTTCCTTCTTCATGAATAGAAAAAGTCTGATATGTAATCAGTACGATTTATTACGAGGTTTATAAATAAATAATATTTAATTGCAGCTTAGCTATACTTAGCTTTTTTCTTCGGTTTTCACGTGACGCGTCGGTCATTAATTTCAACGAGCATGAATTGTTCCTATCAATTTTTCTCGATTCGATGTTTTGATGTATTCTATCCGTTGAACGCTGTTCAGCTTATGAGCTGAGCAAGCGATTGTTTTTTTTTTTTGAGGAAATTGAACATTGATGATGATTTGTTTGTTTCATGAACCTTGATGATAATTAGTTATCTTCTAAAATGCCGTGTTAATCTGAAGTTTAAAAGTTTCCTTAGATGAGGAGCTCCGTTTATTTACACAACGTCACAGCGATTTGCTGTGAGGGTCGACGTGATTGCTGTGAGCTTAGGTCCGCACTATCAAAGTACACGTAGCGGTCTAAGTAAACGGAACGGACTAAGTACGCGTAGCGATCGATTTCTCGTCAGTAAAAGGTGTGTTTAGCTTGAAAAGTTTACCCTCCAGGTAAATGACGTTGAAGCGATGTTGATTACCAGTTATTTTTGTTGAAACAACCTTCAGTCAACGTAATTTTAATGTCATATGCCTGGTGAGTAGCTAAAACGTAAGTTTAGCTTGATGAGTTAGGTTCTCTTATCTATTTTTGAGATTTTTGAGGGTGAGGCTCTTAGTTCTCAGTACTTGGGCACGCAGGTGTTCTTATGGCGCTCGAGGAGGTGGAAGTCGATATTTTTGAGAGCAAGGCTCTTAGTTCTTAGTACTTGTGCACGCAGCTGTTCTTATGGCGCTCCAGGAGATGGAAGTCGCTATTTTTGACAGTAAGGCTCTTAGTTCTCAGTACTTGGGCACGCAGGTGTTCTTATGGCGCTCGAGGAGGTAGACGTCGATGCCGAGCGCCACCATGACGGCTTTGGCCTTCTTGATCACAGAAGCCGGGGGGTGCGGCGACCTGGTCAATATCCACGCGTATCCTGCTTGAAAAATAATTTTTCTTAACTTTTGCAAATTGACTAATTAATGAAATAATATTTTTCTCGATATTTCCCTTTTTCAAACCTTGGGTTAAACCATATTATGAACTTTAAAATTGATTCAAATATTAACTATAAACTTTTCAACTTGGAATGTTGCGACTTGCTTTCTATTTTAACTAAGATGATAGAGTATTAATATGAAAGAGTATTAATCAAAAGATGAAAGATATTAGTCATTGTCGAGAGGGTTCCGGGATTATTAGTTGAACTTCTGTTGCTCTTGGCGTTCGAAATATAGAGCGCTGAAATTATTTCACAATATGGCTTCTAATAAAACACGCTAGGTCTTCAACGCTCTTGCTATCACAAGAAAGGATACCTGAGGTTCATTGATAGACAAATTATTATTGTTAGAAATTGATTGATATAAAATGCTCCTCTAACATGATTAGCTAATATGAATGTTCCTAGAGCCTCACAGGCTGATCTAATATTTTTTGAAGAATTGGATAAAAATAAAACATTACCCATGCGACTCATGATCTGAAATTAAATTAAATTAAGACTATCATGGCTGCACTCAATTTTTTCTCATTGCATACCGTGTTAATATAAAAATGTTCAGTACAAATGTATGTACTCACGTAGGCTGCCAAAAGGCACGTTCTGGCAGGAGTATTCGATGGTCCAGGACTTGTAGTCAGTGCCTGAGACCTCGTAGTGTTCAGTAGGTAGGTACATTTTTATATTATATTTTATTTTATATTATAACATGTACTTACGTAGGCTGCCAAAAGGCACGTTCTGGCACGAGTATTCGATGGTCCAGGACTTGTAGTCGGTGCCTGAGACCTCGTAGTGTTCAGTAGGTAGGTACATTTTTATATTATATTTTATATTCTAATATGTACTTACGTAGGCTGCCAAAAGGCATGTTCTGGCAGGAGTATTCGATAGTCCAGGACGTGTAGTCGGTGCCTGAGACCTCGTAGTGGTCGACGAAGATCTCCCTCGGCACGCCAGATATGGAGTACGACAGGCGGTTGGGCGCCGCGTACGCGTTCTTCCGGAAAATGTCCACGAAGATTTTTGCCGGAATTCTCAATCTAGCCGGCGAAAAAGACGAATGCTTATGAAGTGCTGATTTTAGCGATAGAAAAATGAAATTTTTGGGGAAAATAATGCCACGAATTATGATTCAGCCACTGAACTAATGAATACATTTTCATTTTGCTAGAAATGCAGTTAATAAAGAATTTTAAAACGAAGAAAACGCTAAGTATTTTCACCATGTCAGCATCGAAAATGTTCCGGCGACGAAACGCCACTTGCCTCCGTAACTTTGACAAAGATACTGAGAGTTGGCTAGGCGTTTTCTTTGCTTTGAAATTCTTGGTAAAATAAAGCAATTTGTTTATTTGGTACAGACTTTGACGTGCAGTGGAGTAAAATCGTTCCACTTTGAGATGGTATAGTAAAATTTTGTGTCTAAAATGAAAACAATGCATCTCAGGAAGTGAATATGTTTTCCTGAAATTTTTTTACTAATACTTATATGAATTTAGCTTTTTTCAGATGCATAAATACTGCTTACAAATTCGAATAAGCAATTCATAATATATTCATTTGAAAATGTTTCAATGATCGATCATTGAAACATAATGAATGTTTCTAAACAGACTTACAAGATGTCTTCGAAGTCAAGTCTGACGGAAACTTTATTGGAGTACTTGTCTTTGATGTAAGTGCCGGACCAGCAATACCCGATGTTCTGGTACGCGGTGAAAAAACGTTCCTGCTCGTACCATCTGCCCAGGTACTGGCACGAGAAATGCCAGGGTCACCCAAACATTTGGGACAAACATTGAATATTTTTAAAGAAGCAATTTAAAAATAACTTTTGTGTTAAATTCTCAGGAAGGAATTTATTTATTGGTGGGACTGAACTGCATGTACTTGCATGACACTTGAAAACTTTTGACGTAATTCTAGAAGCAAACGCAGGGAAAATGACTTACTCTGTCAAAGTCGAAGTTTTTGATGACGGGCATGTTGGGGCACGGCTCCCTGTAGTGCACCTGCGCCAGTGCCCAGCTCGTCATGAGATGTAACGTCGCAGCGATCCACATCCACTTTCCCATGGCAGATCTCATTTTATTTTAGAATTGTGTTGAAAAGCTTGTGTTGTCAGAAGCACCTCCCAGCCTGATCTCTGGCAAAGATTCTTTATTTAACAATTCTTCACGAAGAGCAGCACGATCATTAGAAACTCTTTTTTCGAAACTCTTTTTCGCAATTTTCAGCTCAGTGTCAAATATTGTGACTGCTTGAAATAATTAAATGATTAACAGGAATTAACGAATGTATGTCTCTGCAGAAAATTGCAAAGTATAACTAGACAAGTTCAGAATTGATTTAAATGAAGAAGTTTCGGATTTCCATCGACCTCGGATCAAATAAATTTCGATTCATTTTCTATCATTACAAATTCAAATGTACATATTTCTAAAATTGTCATGGCGCAAGTTCATTGTTTGCTATATTACTAATTTATTGATAGTAAAAAATATTGTCATGCCTTGTATACATAAGGATTATTTCCAACATTATTATTAATTCACGTCCTAGCTTATACAACTGCTGTGGAAAATAGCCGTCGAGCCTCACGAAAATGTCTTCGTGAAGAAACGCTGCGCGAGTGCAAAAATTTCCTCTCATATTAGTTTAAAAAAGTAAAGAATTTCTTACAAGCTCACCACTTGCCGCTGTCGAGCACATGTTTTTTTTTAAATTATATGTCATCTTCGAAGAAATAATACTTAAACTTTTTTTACAGATTTTATCAGATTTAAAATTTATTACAACTAAGATAAACATTGCTAATAGAATTATTGTAGATTTTTACCTTCATGCAGAACTAGGTAATTTATTTTAGTAATAAAACTTCGTTCGAAGCCTCGCAAGTTTTCTAAGTCTTATTCTCGCCAGCTTTGCGTAAGTAAGGCGCATTAGATACTTTTTCCCGGACGCGGTAGAATTTCACAATTTACGGATAGTTTGTTGTATTAGAAATTTAATTGATAGATATTTTGAAAGTTAAAATGTTAGAATTTATATTTATAATTTCCATCTTTCTTAAAGTGAAGAAAGAGTTAACTTCGCTCTGTACCTTCAATTTCCAGGAGAGCCTTGATAGCCGCCGGTTTTGCCAGCGAATCTTGCCTCTATTAAATCATTAAATTTCCTCTTAAATCATCAACCTCCATCATTTGCATGCCATTCTCTTATTATCTTCATTAGTCCAGTGTGTTCAAATTAAAATCTTAGTTGCTTCACAGCAACTCTTATCAATTCCAATTAACCGCATGCGTTAAATTAAACGGTCACTGGACTAATCTTTCTTACTAACTTAAAATCGGCTCAATTACTTGGCTACAGCCTCTTAAATGGAATTTTCATTTAAGGTAATTATGATCGCATTTAACTATTGAATTATTCTTGCCAATTATAACTCGATTATTTCGCTAATTAGTTATTTATATTTCTTTATAAGCAGCAATTTAAGAGTATTTTTCTTTTCTACTTCAGAACAAACCGGGTCGACGGGGCATAACTTACGTGCGTTTCACGTATACGCTGACGACCCGGCAGCTGCCTCGATTTCTTTATATTGGAGACGGAACCAAGACAACCTTGTCCACACCGTTCAATTAATAGCCAGAAACAAAGTTGACAGCAAATTTGATCCTTGAACCTCGTTTAAATAAAAACTGAAGAAATTTCTAATGAGCTACAGTTGTTTTATAACCATTACCACTAGTTGTTGTCGACGTGTCCTGAGCTTTTTATAATCTCGTAAGATTTCCCAACTATTCTTCTGAGCTTTTCTTCAATGCAATTCTCTTGATTTTTAAGGCATTGAAGCGCATCGCATTCAAAGATGAACTGTTTAATTGATTGTCTTAACATCCTAGCGCGTTCAGTCTTTTGAATGTGAACGCGCTTGCATGACAGAACTATTTTCCTGGCTTTCATCTTCACGTTCATGTTAGGCACGGATGCTACTACATTTGTTGATTGCTATGTTATGCATGGACGGTAACATTAAGATCGGAGCTACCATTCCATTCCTGCCTTGGTTTGATTACACGTGTGTGAGCAATACGTGGTGGTTGTTTTTAAAACTTTCGGCTAGTTATTTGCTGTTTGCATTGTATGACTTAAATTGCGAGGAGCTCGTTATTTTGTTATGTATTTATGCCCTACTCTGATCCAATTTATTTTATTTAGTTGGACCTCTTTTCTATTGCGAATCTATGTGTATACATCGAATACTTGTATACATTCGTTGATACGAGCACATCCAAGCCACATTTCCTGTTCACTGTACTGTGAAGCTCGAGTTTAGGCAGCCAACAACAATTTCAAAGCGTGTACCGTGTTTCCATTGCATGCAAGCTCTCAATACAAAGGCGCTTTACCGTACAGCTATCGTTCGTTCGCCATACACGACAGCAGCAACTGTCGCAGATCCAGGTCACGCTTATACTGATTACCGCTGATCTAAAAATTTCTCTCTTCTACGTCCTCAAGCTTTCGAGTTTATCTAAGCTCTGATATGGGCTTATTAGCTTCTTGATCTAAGTTTTGGTCAAAATAAAAAATTAAATGAAAACAGTCGCATGATCGTGCTAGATTCAAGCAATAACTAAAATATTTAATTTCGAGCATACATGAAATTGTTGATCACGAGGCATACATTACATATGGAATTTTTCCTGAGCATAGAAGTGTCTACTAAACCACCCGTAAATCTATTAAAGTTTGAGGCGCTGCGAATTATGAAGAATTTAAATGCGTTTCACTTGGAAATTCTAGATTTTCCGCTCGTCAGCTTTATTGGTTTCCGCTGTGACTCTGACTTCTCGTTTCATTTTAAAAACTCGAATTGAGATGAAAATAAGACGAATTAAGCTCGATTTTTTCTTAAATTTGAAAAACCCTTGTGGAAGAATGTATAACGATGGTGTTTAATGAGAGGCGTTATTCAGCAGCCCGATGAGCTCAATGGAATCTTAAATAATTTTACTGTAAATAAATATAGAAACAAAATCAATAAATTAACTTCCTGAAATTTCTCAAATGGACCCATTACTGCTTTAAATAACTCAAATAAATAAATGGAGTAATTTAAAAACCCAACATATTCCTTCAACTACTTTAAATAGCGCAAATTACTAAATTAGCTGCTTTAAATCGCTCAAATTATTACATTGATTAATTTAAACAATTCAAAGTCATACTTCAAAGCAAATAACTCAGTCAAATTAAAAAGATAAATGTTTAAATATCCCAAACTAGTAGCTACATTTACTGCTTGAAATAAACCAATTGCTACATTAAATACTGAAAACATCTTAAATTAATCCATCAACTGTTTCAAATATTTCAAAGTAAAACATTAACTGTTTCAGATAATTCAAATTAACCTGTTTCAAATATTTCAGATTAATACACTGTTTCAAATAACTTGAATAAATTAATTTAACTTCAAACAACCATTGAGTACCATGCGTCAATATTGCGTACAGTGTACAATAATTGAGCAAAACATCGACAAGGTCTCATGACTTGATATTCATTTACGTACACGAGTATACCCTGAGATTTTGGTCTGTCAGAGGCTTATTATTAAAACGTTTTTAACACGTTTTTCTTAGCTTAGCTTCGCGTTTGTTTGTTTGTTTGTTTGTTTGTTTTCCTGCACTAATGACTCCAGCAGCAGGCGTTCGTGACGCTTTTACTCCATGCGCCAGCCGCCCACAATACTTATTGTTCAAGGGAAAACGAGAGACATACTCTCGTTATAGAATGCAGGTCTGAATGAGGTACGCGGCAACGCCTACTGTTCTTCATCCGGAACAGTTTTTTTTGTCTGTTGTTCAATATTAAGTAGCACAGGCCCCTAAACTAAAGACCTGTGTAGGGAATGAACGAAGAATTGTAGCATTAAATAATAACGAAAGTATTTTTTAGCCTGGATGATCGGCTTCCATTAATAGTTGTGATAATAATAATGCTACGCAGGCATCAAGAAAGGGTTCAACGCTCCTCGAATTCTGATAAAAATAACGATCTTTATATATTTGTATATAAAGATTTTAAATCTTTATACCCTCACACTTTCAGCCCCGTCAGCAGGGGAATATACGAATAAATGTAGCACCAATCCCTTGCCTCCTGCAGTCGTTACGGCGGATGCTGTTATTTTTTGCATAAAATCTTGCATAGCTATTGTGATCACTCGAGCGACCCTGGCGTCGACTGGAGACGGCTTCCGTTGTGCTACTCCGGTATAATTCATCTACATTAATAAACCATAAAAATATTTGTATGGTTTACAAATTAAAAATAAACATTTTTCAAATTGGAGCTTCCTCCTCGGCGTTAAAATAGCTCATTAACTTTCTTTGGTGCTATGATGCTCAGTCGCGAGTGACCAACCTTTTCACCGATGCCGGTTGGAAATAGAATGCCATTCTTTCAATGGCTGAGGTCAGAGGTTAGTCGCAGTAGTGCTGAATTTCACGATGCTAACTGCGCGCATAAAGCTGAGGTGCGTGAGAATCTCGACCAGTTAAATGTGTGGTCTCTCTTTTTAATGTATTCCGCAATAAGCGCCGTGTCCGCGCTGCCCAGCAATAAACAACGAGCCGCTGCAGGTTGTGTTCAAAATTGCGCCCGTTTGAGCGTAGAAGATCATCCGTCGCGGCGGAGCTTAAACGCGCCCAAGATTTTGCGGTATGCGTGGCATTTACTCAAGGCTTTGCCCCCAACGAGCCGCATTCTTGGGCGTTCGGGGCAGCCTGGAACCGCGGCATTCCTACTGGGAATGGGCATTCTCGTGGGACTTCATTTTGATGGCCCAAGCAAGTCATTGGAATGAGAAATTTTTATTGAACTCGGTGGACGGGAAATTTTTACGGAACCCGTAATCTTGGAAAATAAGAAAATGCTATCGTACATATTTTTTTGTGGTCGTAGTTGACTGAAATTTCTAACATTAATAGAGGTTAAATTCATATTTTTTTAATTACCAAAATAACTGCAATCAATAGGATCAATTGCTAAGCGACTCAATATTTATTGTGACTATTTGAACTCTTCCTGGACCCTGTAAATCAAAAAGCCGTAATGTATTGATGCGTAGTATATAGACTGCTTGCGTATAACAAACAGAAATGAATCGAATGCAAATAATTCGATGCAGCATATTTCTCTATATAATTATTATTCATGCTGTAAATTTGTAAAGAACATACATTACTGAAGAATTTGAATGCGTTCGAAGAATACTATGGATCTCACGATAGACGTCACCTTTGAAAACTCCGACATCACGT